AATCCTGAACCGAATTATTACTAATAGTAACGATTTCGCAAGCGCAGTAGTTAAATAGCGTTCGCGGAACAAAAAAAAAGAACTATTGGTTCTATTCTGTGTTCGCGGTAACATTATTATTGATTTTGAACTGCTTGTCTATACCTGAAACACCGAGATATAATAGGGATTGCGCGCGCCGTAAAAATTCAGAATTGATAATGATTCGGGCATGCGCTCAAACTATGAATTACTAATTCTGAATCAGTTCAGGATTGTTACCGCGAACGAAGCTTATATACCTTTATTCATCTAGTTGGTATATGCCGAACGTAAAGCTGAAGAAGCCCCCTTGTTGCCCTAAAGTACAGCACTCATTAGAAATTAGAAATACGGTTAATATTAAGCTGAAAAAGTTCTGTATCAGCTTATTTTTTAACTATTGTTTACAGTGGCGGCTTGTGGATAAGTGCTGCAGACCCCCTCCAAAAAAATGCTAAATACATCATCTAACTCAAATATTTCCTATTAGGTACCAACACTTAAGTTTAAAGATAAAAAACACGAAAACTCTAAAAGCCATCTTCATAATTCCATGGAATTTGCGTTACTAGGGAAAACTAATATTATAGCTCAATTAGATTCTGTTTATTGGTTAAATATACTCGTATAGATACGTAATGAAAATGTATCAAAGAATAGGTATATTTTATCCAAAATTATTAATTTCATTAAGTTTTGTGGAACTTTTGAACTGGCTCTTCGGGGACATGATGAGAACGATTCTTCCGAGAATTTGGGGATATTTCGTGGACTTATAAATTTCTCGGATAAATTAGATACAACTCTAAGTGACCACCTAAAAAATTTATCGGTATTTAAAGGCACCTCTAAACAAATACAGAACGATCTGTTACAGTGTGTGCTCGATATCTAACATGAACAAATAATTGAGGAAATTCATAATTCTCCAATTTTGGCGATCACGGCGAACGAAACAATAGATGTTGCTGCAAAAACTCAACTATAGTTATATTTAGATACGTTTGCAATGGTAAGCCAATTGAACGTTTTTGGAACTATTTAATTCCTGAAAAATGTGATGCAGAAACACTTAGTAAAACAATTTGAACTGTTATAGCTCCTTTAATTTAAAATTCACCGAACAAACTGATTGCACAAAGTTATAATGGAGCCGCGGTGATGAGCGGCCAACACGTAGGAGTTCAAGTATTAATTAAAAAAAAAGTGTCCTTTTGCTCACTATATACATTGCTATGCCAATCAGTTAAATTTAATTATGTCTAAAGCCGCTTCTGCAAATTCACAAGTACGTGTATTTTTTGGAAATTTACAAGGCATTCCGGGCTTTTTTAATAATTCACCCCAGCGAGTAGAAGTCTTAAACAAGATTGTGAAGAGAAGGATCCCCCACGGCGCTACAACCCATTGGAATTTTAATATAAGGACCATTTATGTTGTATACGAATAGAGCGTCTATCATTGAGTGTATGCATGAAATAGAAAAACAATTCACCAACAACACAGTCTGTAGTGCAGCCGGCTCTATTCGCCGTACATTAAATGATCCCATCTTCAATTTTTGGCTCAATTTTTGGCTGACATTTTTTCATCATGTGATGCCCCACGTAGACATCCTATTTAATCAACTACAGCAGAGAAAAATTGAACACACTCTAGTAAAAGACGCTATCGATAATTTTGAACGCAGCATCACTCAAGTTCGAAATAATATTGATAGCATCATTACTGAAGCATTAGATATAATAAGCGACCAGCCACCAGAAAATAAACGCAAGCGCCCATGTAACAGCAGATTTGATCAATTGTTGCTTTAGAGGTGTGTGATGTTATCCTAAATTGTGCAAAAGATCGATTTGATTTTAAAGAGCATCTAGTAGGTGCCTCAATTTTTTTCGGAATGCTTTGGAAAGTATTGTGGTAAATTTCCCGAGGATAAACTCACATCCGCATGATCTTTTTATCCCACACTTGATAAAGAACGATTGCGAACTGAACTGTCAAGAAATGATTGCAGGACATTGAATGGTGCACTATATCTACTAAAATTTTTAATATCAAACAATCTAGAAGATACGTTAAAGGAGACTCGAAAATTATTAGAAATTGTTGTAACAACTCCTATGACAACATCAGAAGCCGAACGATGTTTCTCAACACCAAATCGAATCAAAAGGTTTCTCAGAAATTCAATGGCCGAAGATCATTTAACAGCTCTTTCCATGCTATCTACTAAAAAAAGTTTACTTAAGGAAATTTATATAAAATATTTGTTTTTTTTTTGAAAACCTAAAATGTAAATAATATTTTATCAAAGGGTAATCAAAAAACGTTGCCACTGCACAAGAAGATGAAAATTAAAAAGAAAGAAGGAAAAGAAAAAAGAAGAAGAGGTCAACACCGTACTACCTTTGCCAGAGTCACCATCAGCACCGTTTCCAGGACTATCACGAAGTCCAAATCGTGATAGTTACCCAAGTCCAGGACCATACCAAGGCAATCCAGAGTTCCACGATTCTACGATCTATGGCAGAGAATGGGCCGAATTCCAGGACTCCTGAATCCAAGGCTACAAGAGACGGCTACATCCAAATGCAAAAACAAGGGGCAACCAATACCACCAAGCTCTCAGAGGACATGAAGCATATCGCCAAGGGAGCTTGACATGGTGTTGGGTCCATTTTGAGTCTGTGGGAGCCAAATCCACAGCAGGAAGAAGATGGAGTCAAATGCGAAAAAAGGGCCCAAAGAATTTATATGGAATGGACTAAGGTTCAAAGAAAGAGGCCATCCCAGTAATTAGTCAATAGGGACCTACCAGTAGCAGCCGTGTTCAGCAGCTATGTACAAGTAGCAGTCTCACAGTAGCAAGCCAGGAAAGCAGTATAAAGCCAGAGTCTGTTGAAAAATAGATAGACTACTGCAGCAGAAAGAACCCATAACCTCAGTCAAAAGGGTTACCAGGTTCAGCAGACCAAAAACCAATCCAGATCGGAAAGGGACCATTTCAGGAAGGTCAAGGATCAGGGGATGATGAGATGTGACAGCCAGAGAGCAAAGGGTAGTTACGGCCAACCAAGAAGACCAAAGAAGACACAACTTGTGCAGTGAAGCAAGCGTAAGGTTACCATATTATTGTAGATTGTTATTGAAAATTTTTGTAAATTATTTACGTTAAGGATTTTTAAAAGAATTGAACAAATAGTTCAATTTTTTTTCTGTCAGGGGAATAATTTAATAATTTAAATTATTATTGGAAAATATAAAGAATTTACCAAAAATGCTAAAAAAATATTTTAATGTTTTAAATTAGATACTAAAAAAGGAACACACGTATGAAAATAAAACAAACAATCAGGTTATTAATCTATTCAGTGGCTACAATGAGCGTGACATTTTTAAAAATACAACCATCATGTAAATTTTGGTTTATATAGAGAGGAGACAGAAAAAAAGGACTCTCACTCTCCAGTGCGGACTAAGATCCAGAACTTTCTCCGAGACGAAAGCTCTTGTTTTTGGGACTCCTTAAGTCCCAAAACAAAGTCTTATATATATTTTTTATATTAAAGTTTCTGCAGTGCTATTTATAATTGTTAATAGGTGCAAGACTTCGCTGGAAGATCCATGTTAAAAAGAAAAGACAAGAGTTAGATATAAAATTCAAGAAAATGTACTTGTTACTTGGTAGGCATTCCAGCATATCTACACCTAACAAAATTCTAATATATAAACAAGTTCTCAAACCAATTTGGACCTATGAAATTCAGCTCTGGGGTTGTGCCAGCTACAGTAATATTCTAATAATCCAGAGATTCCAGAACAAAGTATTGAGGAACATTGTCGATGCTCCTTGGTACATTAAAAACAGCGACCTTCATCGAGATCTTCAGATGGACACTGTTGACCAGACTATCACCAGATTCGCTAGGAGTCACGAACAACGGCTCCACCAACATGTGAACGTTGAGGCGATCCAGCTTCTTGACAACACGAACCTGACAAGAAGACTCAAGAGAGTGAAACCTTTTGAGTTAGCCAGGTAATTGTGTTAATAACAAAGCAAAGCATTGTGCGGTTTAGTGTTACACGTTAGTTTAGTGTAATTAAGTTATCAGACCCTAAGGTATACTAGCGAGTAGAACTTTAGTTTTTAAGATTGCAACCCTAGTTAAGTTAGGTTATAACAAAATTACTCATTGATCAACTCTTGATCAGATTGTAGTATCAATAAACGCTCCTTTTGGAGTGTTTTTTCACAAAAAAAAGTCCAAACTGTATGGTTCAATGAAATGTTTATCTAGTGTCATAATTCTTTATTTAAAGTTTGGATATATTAACAAGTAGTGCTTTATTCCCTAAATGTAATTTTATTCATTCTTTCATTATAAAAGACTATTAGTCAAATTTTGTACTTATTGTAAATGGATGTTCCTTCTGGACTCCAGGACCCTTTGGCTGGTAACGGTGCTGCCCTAATCCCTTAATAGTATATTAACAATAGTAGCTAAAGACCTATCAGTAGTTATAAATGGTTTTTAGGCAAGTTGATTGTTACATTTGGTGACAAGTGGTGGTCTTTAGAACTCCTGGTTGTTACACAATGACGGAAAACTACTTGATTAATTTTGTTTACAAATATCGAATTGCAAACATTCACAGTGTTGTCAAATTGTTATGAGAGTATGTGAGAGTTGTTTATGGATTGTTTATGGATATAATTCGGTATTGACTTAACATATAGCTTTAAAAGAACGCACAAAAGGCTTTTAAAATAACATTAAGGAAGTATATAATTTGATAAATAAATACTTTTTTAAAAATAAAAAAACCCTTCTAAAACACTACGTTTATGTGCGACGTACGAGTACCTCTTTCCTCGTCTGGTATATGATGTGGACAAAAGTTGTATAAGGGGTAAATAAAAACAAAGAAACTAGTATAATCAGATATAATTTATTAAATACAAACATAAATAGCTACCTCATTTTAATTTATACAATTTATCAGTAAAATACAGAAAAAGGTATTCTCATTACATTATATTTCTTCAAAAAACGTTCATGTTTTGTATTTTTTGTTTGTTTTGTATATTTAATATCCTAATAATGGTCTAACAGAGACTAGATAAATATATTTAATTCTTGCGTGATTTTTTAGTAAAAACAAACAGGTATAGGAAATAACTAAGGCTATTCATTAAGATAAAGTACCTAACGTTAGTATCACAGTTTTTTTTTTATATAAAATATTTTTAAATAAATATACATAGAGGGTGGGTGGCTCAGTCGTAAAAGTCTAGACTTGCGAGTCCAACAGTTCTAAGTTCGAATCAAAGTGATTTTTTCTAATCAATTTAATTAATTATAAATTAATTTTAAAGTACAGGATTTTCCACTCGACCATTCACTGTTGGGTTCTAATTAAAAATGATGTACCCAAAGTGGCGCTAGGAACTAGTAGCAATGCCTACAATTTGGAGTATAGAGTACTATCACTTCGTAACCTACACAAAACACGAGGCCAATGGCCTAAGTTGTCGAATCCGAAGCCACCAATAAAAAATATAAATATACATAAATATAGGTACTTAATATCTAGTTATAAATTAATAACAATAATGCACTATATTATTAATACATTCATAATAATGATAAGAGTTTTATTACCTACTATTTACACTTTAAAATATTCTTTATTAAATATCAGTATTCAATAATAGCATAGAATATGTTACTAGTGATACCATTTTTGTCAAACGTCAAAATTAATAAAAAAAAACTAATACCTATATCGTTATGAACAAAAAAAATATTACGACGAATTGAGAACCTCCTCCTTTTTGAAGTCGGTTAAAAAAGCAAATATTAGGAACGTTTTTAAATTTCCCGCTATGGTATTTGTTTGATAACGATATTAGTGCCACATAGTGGGTCAGATGATAATTGCGTTAGAGATGGTCGTTGTTAAGCATGGGCTTATTATGAGCATTTCCAATCTTTATGTCCCTTATTTCTGCAAAAAAGGTGATATTTTGAATGGCAAAATTCGAAGTTATCAAACTTTGAACATGACACAACTATCAACTGCAGTGACGCATCCAGAGTTTAAGTCTGTAGAGTTAGTGGTAATATTTAAGACATTATTTCTGATAATAATATATATTTAGTACCTATAAAAAGTTAGGTGTAAAAATTATTGGGGGAGGAATTACATCCCTCTCCACCGTATATGCGCCGCTGGTCAACCGATTTTCAGGTAGTATCTGATAGGTATGAATTTTAATAAGTACGTTCTAATAAATAATTTCAAATCGTTCGCAACTTACTAATGGACTGTTTCTGAGCTCACTCGATAATTTATTGACTTCTGAACTCACTTTATGTTGCAAAGGTCAATCTCCAACTGTTAGATCCCAACGGTCGCTTCTTCTTTGTTATTTTTTTTATCTATGATTTCTAGCTGGATTTTTCCATTTATTAGTGACAAAAAAATAGTGTACACTGCAAAACAATACCGCTTATTCACAATACATACATACGACTGCAGGATTGTAGCCCAAAAAAATGAAAGAACCACGTGAATGAAGACGCTGTGTACATGTCAGAACCAACAATTCTCGGTCATTACTGATTCAATTTTCAGTTTGAACAACGGTGTGTTATAAAATTTATTTTAAATTTTCGTTGAAACACACAAATTCAGAACAGTTCTTTGTTGCTGTTGAATCAAACTTAATGTTAACCCAAAGAATAATTACCATATCCGGAATTTCCGTTTTTGATATTAGAAATATGTTTATCCTGTCTTGAATTATTCAAGCACATAAGTGTTTTCTGAGCATATACGGCTGCTATATTGGAACAACAATGCTGAATAAATACAAGCACAACTGAGAAGCATTTTTTTTGGTATTTATATACTTCTTTTTACAGCTTTAAATATGATGACAAATGAATAATTTTTCCCCAAGTTAATATATTCCACTATTTACTTAAAAGTTCCTGTATTTCCTGCAAACTTTTACCCTTAGTCTCGATTAGGTAAATAGTAGTAAAAATAATGGATAGAAAACAGCAAAGTGCGCAAAAGAAAAACACGTTATCCATACCGAAGGAGGTTACGGCTACGTCAAAACATTTAGTCACCAAAAACGAAGCCACCCATGCGACTGTAGCCACAAAACCGATAGCGAACGATTTATATTTATTTGAAAACATTTCAGCCATGATAATCCACGGCAGAGGGCCGAAACCTACATTGAAAAACACTATGAAAGTAGTTAGGGCCGCTATTGGTATCCACGTGATGTCGCTGAGGTCGTACTGTTCGTGCTTGAAGTAACAAAAGAGACCGAGTGTTCCTTCCGTTAGAACCATGCCAACACCCGAGATCACCAGGCAAACTTTTCGACCAATTCTGGAAAATAAAAATTAGATGTAATTAACGACGAACAAATTTTTGACATCGTTGAAAACAAAAAACAGAGTAAAATCAAAACACCTTTGTTAAAAAATTCGAATGAACCATTTATTTGATTATCTTAACTACGCTAAATTTGTTTTCGAAAGTTTTCGCACCAAAACACAGGTTCCAGGAAGGAAGTGAAAGTTTCGGTACGATAACGATGCAAGGTGTAAGTGGCAAATGGTAGATTTGAGGTCCAGAAACTAGAAAACGTCAGGCCCAAAATCGAAGCTGTTTGTCTAGTCTAGACGAATAACTAATGAATCTTGGATTTTTCCATGTAATCCGCTGAAAACTTTTCTCTCTTGCTGACTATTGCTACGGAAACAAGAAATCGAAATACAATGACCATTTGCCAAGTTTGTTATGAAGAAATAGGAAAAGAGAAAAATAATCCCTGTATCAGAGATTCCAGTAATAAACAGTAAGCAAGTAAAAATATACAAAAATTAACGAGCGATCTTCCAGAAAAGCAAGAGGAGCAGCTGTGTGCCTCTTTGCTCTCCCAAAAAATTGATAACATGAAATGTACGTTAGCCGATTAACAGAAATATGTAAGCTTGAGTACACAGGGCTGCAAGAAAACCATTTTGCTGAAAGGCGTCAGACAAACCCAAACTTTTCTCAGCTGAAAGCTTGAATGCCTATCAAGTAGAATCTGGGGCTTCGGGGAAGAAAATTAAAAATTTATGCCATTTTATTAAGGCCAAATATTGGAAGTTTCAAAAAATGCCAAGTTTTTAGAAGATTTATACCGGGTGTTCAACCTAAAGCGTTACAGGTATATACCGCTTTTTATAAAAAAAAAACGTTTCAGACGAAAGTTGTATAGTTTTGTGGGGAAAAACTTTTGGCTAAAATCGTTTTTTATAGCTAACCATAATATGGCCAACTTTTTTTCGCACAGCAACATTTTCAAGTAGCTGTTACTTAAAAAGTAAAAGTCCAATAAAAAAAATATTTCCCTCAAAAGTTTCTTATTTTTTTATGTACTTTAAGAATATGTAAGAAAAAATAGAAGTTGCCAATAAGTATGTATATCTAGGTGTGACGTTTTCTTCTTCTGGGTTATTCCATGATATGGCTTTATCATCAGTTGATAAGGCAAAGCAAGGAATAGGAGCTATAATACCTATAATGTCCAAAGCTAAAATTGACACCTGGCCTCCTAGAATTAAAATATTTGAATCCTTGGCGCTCAGTCTTATGTCCAACTGTTCTCCTGTTTGGAGTCTGAGGTACCAAGATTTATTAGAAAGAGTGCAAGTTTCATTTCTTAAAAGAATACTCTTAGTTCCTCGTAATACTCCCGATAGTGCAATCAGATTAGAAACTGGTAGAGTGAAATATGCATTTAATATATTTAAAATGACACTAAATTGGTTACTTAAAATACTTAATATGAGTGACGAACGCTATCCTAAACTTTGTTTTAAGCAACAACTCCTTTTGATAGGTTCTTCGGATAAGAAATATAATTGGGTTGCACAAGTTAAAGAAATATTTACATCTATTAATCATCTAGATCTATGGAATAACCTCAATGCCAGAACTTTAAAATTAAACACAAAAAAGCTGTTATCTGATTATTATAACAGATTGTATAATCTGGATGTCTCCTTTTCCGAACGATGCCACTTTTTATCTTTTTATACGTCATTTCCAACTGGAAAAAATCCTAAAAGTTACCTACTATTAAAATTACCAATTCACATCACACGCACACTTGCCCAGCTTCGTTTAAGTAACAAATATCAGCTAAAATTCACTGTAAATAACTTTTTGTACACAATAGATCCCAAAAGTATATGTACAGTGTGTAATAAGGCGGAAAACGAAACTCTTTTACATATTCTTTTTGAATGTCCGATTTACAATGTTATGAAGCCTAAAATTCAATCACTTGAAAATATAAATGCTCTTATTGCAACACTAGAAAATTTGACCATCAATGATGCTAAGTATATTTACTCATATATTTGTAACATATTAAAATTGAGATCATTTATTTTGAACGAATAATGTATTCTAGTATTCTATGATTATTTAATATATTTTTTTTTTTTTTTTTTTTACTTTACTTTTAGCTCAATTTGAATTATGTTTATGTTACTGTGACTACACTCAAACTCTTGCTGTAACTTTGTATAAGTTGATAAGCAATAAAAATTATTATTTTTATTATTATTATTATGTAAGAAAAAAATGGGATTCCCATTTAAAAAAACAAAGTCCACCTCGATATGGCCATATTATGGCCAACTACAAAAAAATGAATTTAGCCAAAAACTATAAAACTTTTGTCTGAAACTTTTTTTTCTAAAATGCATATTTTCGGCGGTATTTGACTGTAACACTTTAAAATGAACACCCGATATAATCACGATTTTTTGGATTTTGATGTTGAAAGAAATCTTGTAAAGCAGCGGAGACCTGTAGTTTGGGGCAACGCTGAAGAAATTTTAAAGAATGTAATAGATAGACGAAACTTAATTGGAGATTAAAGTCATGGCTGATGGCGGACAAGGGTTATTCAAAATATTAATGTCAGTGATTCCTAAAAGTTATGTTTCTGATTATTTAAGTTTTGAAGTACAATGTTGGCTCTCGTCCCTGGCATTAAAGAGTCGTACGAAAACTAGAAAATATTATTCGATTTTTTAAAGATTAACGATATTTCCATGAAATTTGTTTCTGACTTCAAGTTGCTACTTCTTGTGAATGGGCAACAAACGGCTACATTTCTATTCCGTGTACTTATTGATTTATCAAGTTACAGGATTTACGAGATCGCAAGCGTCTAGAAGATCATACACCAACAAATGATCATGTTGGCTCCGAGAAGAGGGATGAATCATTCAACTATAAAACTTAGGGGGATCTGCGGCATGATTATGAAAAATTTACTTAGAGGTAAAACAAATATATCTGGACAGAATCGAAGTACAATACATTTGTAAATATAATACATAAAAAGAGGCTTACTCAAAGTTGTCATTAGCATATACATTTTTGCTGACAATTCCAATTTCAGAAGTAGCCTGAGAGGGAAGTTTTTCCAAACTAAAGTACTTGGAAAACAGGCTAAAGAGTACTCTCAGTCAAAACCGTGACATATACAAAACTTCATATTAATGTGTTAAATACAATAGAAAATGACGACTTCATTGACCATTTGACCAACATAACTTAACATAGAGGTAACTGCATGTAAAAAGTAATTTAAATGGACGATTGCAGTCGAGAGCATAATAACCCTGAAATAACATTTTTGATGCATTCCGCAAAACCAAATTTGTATTTTTGTACCAAAATTATTTTAAGTTTATTTCAAATAATAATATATTTTTAAATAAAACTTACCTGTCTACTAAAAACGGAGCTATAAAGCTGCTAATAAATTGCACAAATATTAAAATCATTGTACAATAAGTTGGTGCCAACTTAGTACCAGCCTCTCTAAAAATCTGCTCGCTGTAGAACATTATAGCATTTATGCCAGATAATTGTTGAAAGATCAGAATGCCCACAGCAGAAATGATTCCTTTTAGTAAAGGTTTTGACCTGTTAAGAAACAAAAAAAAAATAAAGCAGCCTTTCCACAAGCAGGTAGTACGTGTATATACACTGGTTAATCATAGATTGAGATGAAATGACAGGCGTATCGAAAGTGTGAAAAGAGTAAAGATATTTCCTCTCTTATATTTAAATAATATTTTCTAGCGCTTTTAGCATTTAAGCCATAAACGGGACTCTAAAAGACCGTTAACAGTGGAAGCAGATATTGATAAACAACATTAAAAAGTAGAGGTCTCTAAATCTTTCTCCGATGTTTCTTCCTTCCATCTTGAACAAGTAGAGAGTTTTCGAATTTGAAAGATTTTCAATATCAAGTTTAATTTTAACCAATTTATTTAACGTTGGTTATATCTCAAGTGTTACCCTTTTCTTTTATTTTTGACGAGTTGTACTTTTTAATGTTGGTGGTCGAAATGTGATAATGACTTAAATGCTGAAAGTGCTAGACAATATTATTTAAATATAAAACTTTAAATAGCCTTTTATTTCACCTTAAACTTTGGCTAAAGCATCTTTTGTTTCCCATAATTTTTTCTCAGAAGGGAATAATGTAAAATTTATTTTAATTCAACTTTTACAATAACTATACAACTTATAACATTAACGTATAACGTCTATCATCAAACTGACTGACTGATGTTAGGATCACCAACTTATATAGCTCAATGTAACCTTCTAGAATTTTCCCGAACGTCAAGATATTTCTTGATGTGGAATGACATTTCTAGACATTTCTTGAATATTCTCCCTTCTTCTTTTTTTTAGCGCACCTTTACTTATGACAACCGCAGCACATTACAGGGTGGTGTGTAACACTGCTCCCTTCTCTCTAGTTATTCGTCTCGAATAACTTGATTACTGAGACCTGGTACCCAGTACCCTTTAATAGCTCAACTGTATTTGGCTATCTCTTGCCAAGTAGGTGTAACTTTATTTTTAAACCATTCTCGGACAACCTTCAAGTCATTGTCTTTCTTCTGTCCCTTTCTCAGACTTTCAAGGGTGATTCTTGTTCGTCGCCCTCTGGCTTGATAGTGGTTGCCCGAAGAGTAACTTTGTTAACCGGTTCCTCTCGTTTTTTGAGTTCTTTACTGTACTGGAATCCTCGTTCCAAACAGGGTCGCCTGAAGGGAATGTCTGCGTTGCTATGGAGACTGCCTCTTCGATGCTCTACTTCCTCTGGATATTGCTAGAAAGTCGGTTAGGTGTGGGTGATCGGCTTCTCCGGGACGCATAGGTGCTGTATTTATTTCTTGTTATACATCGTGACGCGCTTTGGGAGATTGATCTATGTGACTTTCTGGCCTCATTCCCTGATTCTTGATTTATAGAACGAGCTCTGCTTCTGCAGATCCTTTGATGGTGTCCGATTCTTCCGCAACGAAAGCATCTCCTGCTTCCATTTTGGCTGTTTTGCAGGATGTTTAAGATTTGTTAGAGGGTAGATGGGGAATAGTATTAGTATTGGCCTCCTCACTTTTCCGGGATTTATTTTCTCTCACTCTTGTGCGAGAAGATCTGGATAGGAGCTTTACCGCTTTATATTCCTAGGCTGCAATTAGTTTCTCCCTCAGCGTTTTGTGATGTTGTAGACGAAGGGCTTGCTGCATTTTCACATTAATGAATGCCTGTATTCCGATTTGTTCTTGGAAATTTTAGGATGCATGTGGATAGGTCAGATGAATCAATCTTCTTATGTCAGCCTCAAATTCCTGTAAACTCTCATTATGTTTTTGAATACGACCTTTAGCTGGCTTTGAAATAACTGCTTCAAATGCTGCTGGCCATATTTTGTTTCCAAAGCTTGGACGAGAAATGAATACCTGGGGTCTTCTTGGGAAAGTAACTATAAAACGGTTGCTACTTGACCTCACAGTGACACTATCAATGAAGCAGCCATCTCTTTCCCTGCCCAGCGATTGGCTCAAACTGCAACTTCAAATTGGCGTCGATATGTTTCTAACTCAGCCATTTCAGTTCTAATTTACCTTTCCAACTCTACTCTAGCCTATTCTTGTTGTTTTAAATTAGATTCAAATTCTCCTGCTGTTTCTCTAAATTATTTTCTCGCTGTTCTAAATTGGCTTTTAAATTATCTTCTTGTGTTAAGAGATCTACTCGGCTGTTTAGCTGACTTACCTTTTGCTTAAAGTTTTCTTGAATTTGCAGCAAACCATTTATAATTTCTACCTTAGCTTTTTTACGCCTTTCTTCCTTCTCTTTTTCTTCGTCCTTCTTGTACATTTCCTTTTCCTCCTCCTATTCCTTCCTGCGTTTTTACTTTTCTTTCTCTTTTTCCTTCCTGCGTTATTTTTCCTCCTCTACGTCCTTCCTGCTTCTTCCATTCTCTTCCTCTTCATCCTTCCTCCTTTACTTTTCCTCCTCTTCGTTCTTCCTGCGTCTTTCCCTTTTCTCCTCTTCGTCCTTCCTGTGTCTTTCCCTCTTTTCCACGTTTCCCTTCATGTGTCTTTCCTTTTTCTTCTCTTCGTCCTTCCTGCATCTTTTCTTCTCCTCTTATCGCCTTTCCTTTTTCTTTTCCTCCTCCATCTTCAAAAACTATGCTGGGAGACCTAAAGTATCCATGCCTGTTTCGTACTCAGTGCATCTAGTATTCACTATGAACTTCTATTTTGTATCCCACTGCTGTCACCAATGTTACGCAATTTATATCAACTCAACTTTTACATTAACTATACAATTGATAACAATAGAGAGTTATTGCAAGTTCACTTAAGGTCAGTCACTATTAGTGCCGCTCTTATTTTGACATCTGAGCATGCGCAGATCACTAACTTTAATAAAGATTGTGCCTGTCCTTAATAAGAGAGTTATTGCAAGTTCACTTAGGGTCAGTCACTATTAGTGCCGCTCTTATTTTGACATATAAGCATACGCGGATGTTTATGTTCTAAAACTGACTTTATTAAGGATTGTGCCTGTCCTTAATTGTGTATGTTTAAGGGCAGCAGGTAGTGGCGACTTTATAGCTTTCGGATGTGCTCGCCGACATTCGTATCCGTTAGAAGTTTTTTAATATTAAATATTTAATATAATCGTCATTGGTTTAAAGGTTTATTTTAAAATTATAATTTCTGATGCTTCTTTAATATTATCTACTATTATAGACAACAAAAAAGATAAACTATAATTTAAAGTTATTAAAATAAGGTTAGAAATAAGTATAAGGATGAGGATTCTAAAGTCAAAATTTCAGGTTTGATTTTAGCATGGAATTTATTTGACTCTAATTACGACGTCACTATTAGTGGCTGGCTTAATAGAAATTTACAATATCTCTCTATTAAGGACAGGTACAATCTTTATTGAAGTTAGTGATCTGCGCATGCTCAGATGTCAAAATAAGAGCGGCACTAATAGTGACTGACCTTAAGTGAACTTGCAATAACTCTCTATATTAACGTAAAACGTCTATCATAAAACTGACTGACATCAGGATCACTGACTTATATAGCTCGATTTAACTTTCTTCCTAAGCGTCCAGATATTTATTGACGTAGAATGACATTTCTAGACATTTCTCGAATATTCTTCCTTCTTCTCTTACTCGTATCTTTACTAATGACGACCGCAGTACACTATAGGGTGATGGGTAACAATAGCAATAATAAATGAACTGAGCATCTTAGCAAAGTATAAAACAAAAGAGAACTTGTGATTCATTATAAAAAATTGAACACAAGAAAAAAACTATTTGAAAAACTCACAAAAAATTAGGAGGAAGATCAAAAATAAGAAAATATAAATACAAACTTACGTGAAAAAGTCTAAAGTATTAAATGGTTCTTCCTTCACTTGATATTCCGCTTGCATTTCTATAATATCCTTTTTTATCATCTCCGGACTTCTTCCTAGATGTTTTAAGATTAGTTCAGCTTTATCACTTTGTTGCTTCTTCACAAGGTAAATAGGGCTTTCAACTCCTAAGATTCCAAATAAGACGAGAAAAATCAGTGGAGGCATGGCCATTACTGAAACAAAAACGTAAATTAATTTAAAATATTTCATATTTAAAATCTCCTCATCATTTCAAAATAAGTATTTGTTCCTTAATTTTAGCGTACCTGCGTTAAAATACCCGATTGGTTTGTAGGGTCCAAAACACACTGTAAATAGTAGTCCCATGCAGCAAGAACACCCGGCTGCACAACTAATGAGTCCTCTGTTTTTGCTTTCAGCTATTTCACTTAAGTACATTGGCAAGACTATAAATGTTCCTCCCAAGCTGATTCCTGCCAAAGCTCTGCAGAAAATAAAACACAAATTAATAGTTCTATTAACAAACCAATAATTGGTTATTTTATAGATTGTATACCATAATGGCGTGTACAAACTGCTTAACCCAAATGTGAACGCTCGTTGGTTGTCAAGCGATTTTTTACTGATATTTTTTCCTGTAAGTTTGGCTTTGGCTAGTGGTGTTAAAAAGAGAGGGGAGAATGGTGAGAACAAAAATATAATAATAGTGTCGTTTTGTCGAGTCGGTCTTATCTACATTAAATGTGCAATAAAAATTAAAAAAATATAAAATTACGAAAATAGTTTATGTATCAGAAAATTAAATGAACATCTAGTCATATAAAATTAAAAAGGCGTTTATTTGTTACAATAGAAAATTATTTGAACATACAAAAGTACAAAAATAATTTACTACAAGAGAAAATCGGAGGCTATGGCAAAATTGGACGAAAATTGGTCTTTAAGTGGGTAAATTAAATATTAGTAAAAGTTGCATATTTTACATTAAGAAAGCTGGAAAAAATAACAATGATTGCGAAGACGTTTTAGACAATGCTCTCATCGAAATTTAACAGCTCTTTGACATGAGTCAAAAATTTTAGATAATAATATTAGAAACAATTTTTTTCTCCAAACATAAATAACAGATATATTCCATAAAATATAAAAACGGCCCCCCATGAAGTACCCCCCCAGATGTTCCGACTTAGTCCAAAATCTAATCATTTCACGTCAGGCCGAAATAAAACTTAAGTTTAAAATTTATTGTTTTTTTCTTTATCAGTTTTTGAGTTTTCTTCAAATTTCGAAATTTACACATTTTCTCAAATATCTCGAATACGGTCCATTTTAGAAAAATTATGTATGGTATAAAAATTATTGAGAATTATATTACAAACAACTTTTGTTTGAATAATTTTTATAAAAAATAATTTTTTTACATTTTGTCAAATTTCTCGAATACGGACCATTTTAGGAAAATTTTGTATAGAACAAAAATTATAGATAATAATATAAGAAGTAACTTTTATTTAAAGAATTTTCTTCCCTAAACGTAAATAACAGATATATTTCATAAAATATAAAAATGACCACCTATAAAGTACCCCCCAGATGTTCCGACACTGCCCAAAATCTAATCAGCACATTGGACACTGGAACGAAGCTTAAGTTTAAAATTTGGTGTTTTTCTGTGTATCGGTTCATGAGTTATGCGACACACAGACACACAGACACACAGACACACAGACACACACACACACACACACACACACACACACACACACACACACACACACACACACACAAACACACACAAACACACACACACACGCACGCACGCACACACGCACCCACACACACACACACACACACACACACACACACACACACACACACACACACACACACACACACACACACACACACACACACACACACACACACACACACACACACACACACTCACACATCATCGCGAAAATAGTCAAAACGGATTCAGGGGACCTCAAAACGTAAAAATCCGTCGAAAACTCGAGGTCGAAAAAAATCATGATTCCTATACTTTCCTTATATCTGTATACAGATAGGAAAGTAAAAATTGATGGAAAAGTTCCCACCATCAGTAGTTCCAAACGTATTCTCTCATAAACTTGAGTTTCTAGGACAATAAACAGGTAGCTTTCGGCTGTTAGAAGATTGCAACGTCTTTACATTGGAGAATACCACGTTTTTGCAAAATTCCGTCCCGTGAATTAAAAATTCATTTGCAAAATGGACTTTCCTGTGCTTATTTTCTGCATTTGAAAAAACATTGCGACCAACATCGCGGTTTTTTAAGCCAGCTTGTTTTAAACGGCTTGTGCCTAAATCACTTCATCAAATTTTGGCGTTCATATTTCGGTTTCGTCAACTGTATGTCATCACTAATAGCCCAAATAAGTAAACATAAAGCATGAACAATGGCGAAATTGTCATTTGTTTGAAACAGATTATTATTTATAACAGTTTATTAAAATTTACTTAACTAAAATACAAATTAATTAATTTACACTCTAACACATATATTTATATGTCACACTTATAATCAAATTTATATAGCAATTCGAATGTATATCTTCAAATACGTCTGAATTTTAATTTGATTTCTCCGACAGCATATAGCCTATTTATACAAAAGTGCTGCGCACCGTACTGATCTAGAAGAATTCCAGGTATTTCTCGAACGTATAGTAGACGGCACAAATAAATTTTACTATTCCACAATTAAATATCAGTATTATTAATATATCTATATATAATTTACAAAGACACCGCCGACGTTCAGCTTAGAAAAGACAGTTGTCAAAATGCAAAAAAGTGATACGTTCAATTCTATTACAGTTAAGAGCATAGTACCCTTCGAGCAAATATGCTGGAAGCTAGTATCGAATAAATATTTTATGCTTGGCATCGCTGTACGACAAGACTCTGTCGCGTCGGCTCGATTAATTTTAACAGCTTAATTTTAGCGTCTCCTATTGGTTGAATCGAACATTTCTCAAATTTTTATTTGTAATAGCCCGCGAGAGCACGTAAGAAATGCACGTACACGTGGACTGGGATATCCAATTGTAATTTTGTTATTTTATTCAACTCATGTTCTAATTGAATATTCGGCACGCTTCTATGTGTCATCGATGTGTTGACTGAGCACAGATGGATAATGTTTGTTTATCCAGTGATGTATTCACATTACTGTTTGGCTTTTTGGTTCATAAGAAATTGCTTTTTGGAGGCCCTTTGAAACTGATGGAAATAATGTGATCCCTGAAGCAGTCTGAAGCTAACAACCAACCCTAACACGCACGCACACCTCTTCAGCTTTCAAAAAACGGATTAAAGTTAGCCCCATAACACTCATATATACTCCCAAAGGACCCTTAAATACCTGGGAATAAAAATCGGACACAATATGAACATGGGATTGCATATCAAAGAAGCAGCTAAAATAGGATCCAGGGTAGTAGCAGCTCTGAGTCGACTAATGCCAAATATCGGAGGGTCTAAAGCAGGAAGAAGAAGAGTTTTTGGTAATGTCGCTAACTTAATAGTACTGTATGGAGCACCAGCATGGAAAGAGTGCATTAAAGTTAGTAAACATAGGAGAGTAATTAAGAGTACACAAAGAGGGCCATCCAAGTAATAACGTGTACTAGTCCCTTACACCTATTAGTAAATGAACGGTCACAAGACAGAGGAGCCAACGAGAGAGCAACAAAAAGAAGAGCAAGAGAAAATACAATGGAGAAGTGGCAGAAAGAATGGATCCAGGAATCCATGACAGCGCAATGGACAAGACTAATAATCGAAGGGGTACAAAATGAAATTGCACAATAACGAGGACTGCAGCTACTGTTGAGCTAGAGATATGCCAGAACACACAATAATAGAATGCAGAAGATGGGACATAATAAGACATAGAACAAAGAACGAAATAAAAGAACCGCTAATATCAGCAAATGTTATAAAACATACGCTAGAAAGCACAAAATACATTACATGATAACCCACTGATCTGTTTTATTTGATAACCGCAATATTGAAGGCTAAGGAATCAGATAACAGAATACAATAGAAAAGCAAATAAATAAACAGGAAGAGCCCAAATCCAACACTGAATCATCTTCTTTAAAGTAATGCCAAAGGTAGTCCCGAAGAAGACCACTTGATTCCTGAGTGGTTAGTTTTTAGTCGGTTAGAATTCGACACTGTTTGTTGGTCATGTGGCGGCCATTAAAAAAAAACCTCTTCAGTTTACACATTAAAAATAATTGTTCCCTCTACTTCAAACGCCTGCCCATGTACAAAATATTTGGCCCTTTTTCCTCTTAAGCCTGTTCATGTAAAATTATTTGCTCCTTTTAGCCCTTACACCTGCACATGTAATAATATTTGATCCCATTATCTATTAAGCATCCCATATTAAAATATTTGATTCCTTTACTATCTACTTATTTTTTTACCAAGGTAGATTTAGGTTTGTTTAATCAAAGCCAAATCTGCATAAAATCCAACAGATCTATTAGTATTTCTACAAGTATATTTGGTTTTATATAATATTAGGCTGGGTGTTTCTAAAATAAAAAGAGAAGTAAGCGTTAAAATTTGATGGGTTTTAAAGAGTGATCTGCAAGAGGCAGAATATTATGCCTGGCATAGTAGACGAATAGTCCATTTTTTGGAGGACAAAATAAATGTACTATGGAATATTTATCTGCTGAAAACTGTAATGCATACCTAAGATTCGATTTAATTAATCCAAAGTAAATATTCTTTTCTGTTCCAAATCCCAATTTCCTCCTGGTGGATCTAATCGCGAAACAATCAGAGGCTAACTTTTTATTTGAACCATCCACCTGGCATCTAAACTTCAAATATGATTCTATTATTCTTAAACCTTAAAATGTTACGTTGGTATGATATTCTAGCAAATTCATCTTTATAACATTTTCAACATGGCCCATATACTTTATGTCCTTACTTAATATTGAGTGTTTATTTACCACTCTGATTACATTTACCTATCAAAATTATAGCTATTACAGTATTACATATTCTACTCATTAATACTTTACGACATTTCCACGAAGGTATTAGGGAAGTATTCAATATTCTTGGTTTATTAAAGGACAGACAATATTTTTCTAATGTAAATGCGACTTCCTCATTATGTTTCCAGTTATTTGAAATCAAGGTAATTTTCATTGACAGTGACCTTGTCAAACAATACAATAATATATGACCTTACCACTGGCCACTAGCACATGGAATTTCGTCATATTATAACTGCACTTTTCGCAGTCAAAGAGTCTGTCAGAAAATACATTCCGGATATAATTTGTAATCTGGTCAGGTTTTAAATTCGTTAATTATTTTTTATTAGTTTCAGACATTTTATACATATTAATAAGTTGTATACATAAAAATAGATAAGTATCTCTAGCCAATACCTACATCATATGT